AAAATAAAGGATAAAAATATTATTGCCTTATTTGCTTATTATCAAATACAAAACTTAATGCAATGCATTGAGCATTGCAAATTTAAGCATAAAAAAATAATTTATATGTTTACCATAATTGATATAAAAATAATTCTTAATTTAAAAAAAAATTATAATTATTTTTAGCTTTTTTATACATAAATAAGATTATTTTTGCTTAATTTCATTAATTATTAATTTGATTCGATAAATACTTTAGTTTTTTAAATTAAAATTGAAACATTAATAAATTTACATTAAAATTGAGTTAAAACCGATCTAAAATCACATATAATTGTAACATTTTCTTCGCTTCTCAGTTTTTATTAACAATTTGGATATTATTTGAAGTAAAATGAAATTTTTATAATTCAATAATATCAGATAAGTAATATATTTTCATATAAGAATTTTTTAATAATTCCTGCATATACATACATTCATAATAATCATCCAAAGTCAAAGTTAAAGTTACTATCAATCCCAATTTATTCTATTATTTATTTTATATCTACTTATATCTATTTTAATATTCGAATATTTATATATTTTTTCATATTAATTTGTTATATTTTAATTCGTTAATAAAACTCTTAAAACATTTATTAACATTTATTAACACTTTTACTGTTATACTAAAATATTCAATGTTAAACTTTAAAAGTGTTTGCACAATAATTGCTAAATTGATAATTTATATAGTACATTATAATTTTTATAGTATAAAAAATAGAAGAATAAATATGTAAACAGATAGTAAGAAAATACAAAAAAATTACAGGATATGATTCATCTAAAAATGTTTTAAGTAAATTTTATGTTTTTAGAAAGTTTAATTTATTTGAATTTTTCATCATAAATCTGCTAAAATCTAATATAATAATATAAAACAATACGTACTTTGAGTTCATTTCTTTTCAAAAGATTTCTTGAGATTAAAATAATGTAGAATATTGTAGAATATTGTGACTGGTTTATATTACACTATTTTTTTTTCTTTTCAGAAGTAGATCTCTCGAGAATAATCCAAAAGAATACTGTCCAATATAGAATACTGTAGAATACTATGAATAGTTTATATTCCACTCGATATATAAATATATGCATAGGTAAATATAGTTCATGAAAGAAAATACTGATTCGTTGATGACCTAATGTATTTATAAAAACAGATAAACTTATTGGTCGAAATGTTGTCTATAGATAAAATCTAAAAGCAAAAGTGGAAGAATATT